AGATGTTTAATTCTACCTTTATCCTACATTGCATTCTTACATATTCTAGAATACTCTAGTTCATCTTAAATTGATAGATCCAATATTAGTAACTATGTTTCCTTTTCTTTTTCTTTCTTAATGAGTGAATTAAGAACCTTTGAAAATTGGAACTTCATGGTATTTATTCAAGGGTAGCATAAGTTTTAATCTTCCTTTTTTCAAACTTTTTCCATAGTAACTTTTTCTTTTTTCTGTCTTTATGTAGACATAAAGGACTTTAATAGATGGGCCCACTCATTTACTTAAGAGGTACATTACATACATTGTATATGGCAAAGAGTTTTAAATTACAGAATTATTTTCCACTGTGATTTTTTCCATTGTACTTTTAAATGTTAATTGAACATATCAATGCCTTTGTGCTGAATGTATAGCATATGGTTCACACAGTACTCACCTATGGATTTTAGGATTACAATTAGAAATAAACGAACACATACATACCCATCTTCCCACAAATTTAAAGATTATTAACCATGATACTAACGAACTTGCATGAACAGTTAAAAAAAACAGCTGTAAAATCATAGCATATCTCTTCAAAACTACCAGGTGAAAGCATTGGGAGAGAAGCGGTATGATTTCTTTGTTAGTGCTTCTAATAGATTTCCTAGGAATTCAAGTGGAATAGAGAATCCAGTGAAATTTGGTGCTTTGCAACATTACTAAGCTCATATCTGCAAGCTAATCATGTGTGATAAGGTTAAAATGTAAAAGCATTTGAATCAATAGCTCTTTCAGATGCCTCTCTGATAAAATTGTTTCACATTATTTCCTAATTATTTAATTTATATAAGAAGAAAGATTAACAGAAATAATTATATTAGGAGTAACAGGATCCAACCATTAGATTTCATTGTTTTTGTTGGCATCTTTGCAAAAGTAATCAGATCTGAGAAACTTCTACCCTAGAAAGGGATCTGCTCTCTGGCTTCCATTTACTTGAAAAGGAATTAAGTTAGGTTATGAGCAGAGGCTAGGTTACCTCTACCTGGAAATTACTCAGACAATTCCTTTCGCCCTACGGTGTTACTTTTCTATCTCCTTGCCCTTTACACACAGCCTTTATCTTCCTACAGTCCTGAAGCCCTCTTTTGTTTATCATGTTTAGAGGAGTTTAAAGTTCTGGATTTCCATATTCACATAATTATATACTCAATATATAGCAAAAAGCAGTAATGTAAAGTATTTTTAAAAGATGTGGCATTTTAAAGAAATTTCACAGCTATCATTAGTGACTTTAACTTATTGGCAAGTTTTAGGCTACATTCTTAGTCATATTTTGCTACTTTCCATTTGGTGTTTTCTCATTTGCATTAATGCAATTATTCATGCATATGAAAAGAATGTTATTTACGTCCATATTTCTTCCTCTCCTTATTCCAAACCCATTGTATGTAAAGTCATACACAAACATACTAGTATATTTATGTCGTATTTATATTTGAATATATAAGTGATTCAATTTTGTTATCACAACTGTATAGCTCAACCTAAGTGATGACCCTATGTGCTGTATGTGTCTTATCACATCATTAATTCTCAAATATGCTAAAATCCAATCATTGCAACTGATAAGTTTTAGTATAACTTGTCTTCTTTGGGAATTATTTTACAAAATAGAGAAATTTACTTCTGAATTCTTTTTCTATATGCAAATGAGAGAATGGTAAGCTCTTATTTCTCCTACTGCTAATATTTTTCTTGACATGATATTTGCACATACTTCTAGTAACTGCTTCTAAAATTTTCATGTTCATAAAGCCATATCACTTGCAAATTCAGAAAACCAGTGTCCTTTCAGAAAAAAACTACAAAAATGAACTGACAAGAAGAAAAATGACCAACCTGGCAGGGCTTACCTCCCTCTAAAGCTTGATTCTTCTTTACTCAGTATCCCAGGAAATTATTTCACTTGAAATTTTGGGCAGAATTCACAAAGAAAATGTTTTCTCCTTTATCCTCCAGTTGTATACTTCTTAGAAAAGCAAACACTATAGCTTCTATTTCCAAAAGTTTTTCTTCAAAAATATCAGTATTTGGAAAATAGAAGAAAATAGAATAACACAGTGCATTTAATGGTTACAAACCTCATTCATTAGAATGATGAGACATTCCAGAAATCCCACTCTTTGTGCCCTATTTTATCTGCAGTTAGGGCTGTCATGAAAGAGGAGGGAGAGGAAGCTTATTTTTAAAAAAATTCCCATTTAGTCATTAACAAATGAATCACTTTAAAGCTTAGAAAACATCATAATTGCATTTTTCTTTTTCATGATTGTTGCAGATATTAAAGTGAATAGACAATGATAATCATGTGTAGAATAACCTGGTTTTCTAGACAAACCCACTTGTCCAAGATCAAAGGGCTACAGCACATTTAGGGTTACAGTCTCCTTCCCTTCCTCCTTATTCTCAACCACAGTGGAGCTTTTTCCAAAGTTACCATGGTAACACTATATCTGGCTGCTAGCTCTGTCGTAAGTTATTGAACTGAGACTGGCTTTTGGTTTAGCAGATAATTAGGTTCTGTCTCACAGGTTCATTTTCCTGTGACTGGGATGTGAATATGACCTACAGCTGGCCTCAATTTCAGTGTCACAGACAAAAACTTTAACCCTTCCCAGTTCCCCAGGCACACTCTTGAGTCTGGCTTGTGAGGCAGAATTCTGGTGCAGATCACCCCTCCTTGGGGATGATTACCAAGTCCTTATTTTTATTTTTTTATCTTCATTCTAATACAAAGGAAAATACCATCAAGGTTGTACACATTGAATGTTTCCAAAATTAAAAATATATCAACAATGATAAATATTTACAGATGTTATAAGGAATATAAAACTTTTTATGGCTATTATCATTTCCCTTTAATACTTCTTAAATCACATTGAAATATCTTCTGTTCCATTTTGAACATCACAGTATTTAGAATTAAAAAACATATTCTTAGAAATATTCACCTAATTCTTTTATTCATACTGTTGAGGATTGTCTGCCAGTTCATTTATGCCTCTCTATTTTTATGTGTCCCAAATTTCAGCTGACCTGAAAGGTTGCTTGGTAGTCACAGGCAGACCCGTGTGACATGGAACAGTACTATGACTCTACTGAAATGCCAGTCTTTACTTGTGGCAAGAATCTCTTTGGTTGGGAAAATCAACTTTATGTGTCAGTCTGTTCAAAGATCTACCCTTTGTTTAGAACAAAGAAAGACACACCAATTTTAGGAACTGAATTCACAGGACTGAAAAGAACATGGAGACCTAGGAGACTAGTGAAAATGTTTGACTTTCCATGTTAAACAATGGAAGAGACCCCCAACCATGATACTTGACTGCAAATTTTTGTATATATTGCCTAGAAAATGATGACAAGAAAGCAAGAGGGAAGAAGAGATGAGTTCACCAAGATTGAAATGAGTTAAATTCCATACTTAATTGTTTGGAGAATTACTGAACTATAGTTATAGTAATAAGTAAAACTTGTAAATGGGAAAGTTAAAGCATTCAACCACTGTCCACTGGACTAAGTCAATGTAAAATATGGACTACATTCTGTCCAATTGGAGGCCAGGACCCCACAACAATGTCTCAGGCAAGTCTGTAGCAAAGATCTGCATGGAAAGACCCAAAGGTCAGTGGTGGAAATTAAAAAATCTGCACGAGTGAGATGAAGGATCTGTGTCAGCGGGCTGGGGCATCTGCACTAAAATCAGGAAGCGACACTCAAGGTGAGGACCAGAGCTCCCCTGAAGAGAACTGCAGCCATTCTCAGGGACAGCATGGATCTGAGGCCCTCCAACAATGGCAGCTAAGTTCATACCAGGCAAACCAGCATGACAAGCTCTCCAGGAGGAGAATCATCCTCTTCTCCTCCAGTTCTCCTTTTATGGTTTTGGCAACAATCCTTCCGTATCCATCGCCATGCTGATTCAGTTCAGCTGGGTGTTACAAGCTGACCATTAGTTCTTCTGTCACAAGACTTTGACCCTGCTTACCTACCTGATATAATTTCCCATGCGCGTGCTCTTCTTTTAATCTTTATGTTGCCTTTCCTAAACAAACCAAGCACATACTTTCTATAGATCCTCAGGCCTTCCTGTTCTCTCTGCAAGGAACACCTGACCTACTCCTTCATTTTGTTCTTATTTTTCTACTCATAGACCATCTGTTACTCCATGTCTTCCTTAAACATATTAAAACACACCTGACTCTTGTCCAGTAACCTGAACAGTTTTATGTTCTCTTCATAGTGTTTATCACTCCTTGGTATGATGTTACACAAAAAGCAAACAAGTATAGGTCTGTGTGCCTCTTCCACTAAAACATAAGATGCATCTGAGCAAAAAGTAGGCTTATCTGTGGATGTAAGCCCAGTGCCTATAACCTAGGAAACTGGGGCCAAGTAGACAGTAAATAAATATTTGTTGAATGAATGATTGAATAAAGAGTTTCAAATACAGTGCCTGAGTATACCACCCAGTGTCAAAACAAGAAATGATTGGTTTCCTGGCATGGTTGTTTTCCCAGCACAATAGAATTACATGAAGTCACACAAATAAAATTTGATGACATAGGTTAGATTTCTGCAGCTCTCTATAAAATTGAGATAAGACCAAGAAACTGACCCCATCCAATCTCATTCTTACATAAGCAAAATCCAAAGTAAAGCATGGTACATATTCCAAATACCTTGACTCTGTAATCATTCATGGAAATCTTTTTCTGTGAATAACCAGATAGTAAATACTTTTGGTTTTTCTAAACATACAGTCTGTGTCAGAGTGACTCTGCTGCACTTGTGTTCAGGTATGAAACCAGTCATGGATATTACATAAACAAATAGGTGTCCTTGTGCCCCTGAGAAAATTTTACTTTTGAAAACAGGAGTTCAGCAGACTGAGCCCACCTGCCGTGCCATGATTCACTGACCCCAAATCCCTCCTTTGTTGCTGAAAGGTACTCAGAGAACCATGACTCTCATCTGGTGCTTTCAAAATATGAAACCAATTGGAGGCTAGAGAAGAGAACATAACAACAAAACATGTGAGTAGCATCTGAGCTTGATTTATTTCCTTTCAGGTTATTTCCTTTAAGTTAGTCCTTAGTTTTGAATTTTTCTGAAGTTTTAACTGTTGGAACTGGTCAGATATTCTCAATGACAAAATTCTTCCTAAGAAATAAATGAGGGATGCATCAAGTGGTCTGTTAACAAATGTTTGAATGGATGGCTCTCTGAAGTGGTATTTACTAATTTCTGTAGTGTAAATTCAACATGGCCATTTAAAACTGCCAATACAATGGCACTTAACATTCAGTTAGGAAAGGGAATAGTGTCTTGAATTACTATAAGCCATTTCCAATCCAATACCTGAATATATATTTAAAATCTCCAATAATCCTACGCACTGCCATTGTAAACTCAGGAGTAAACAGTGGTGAGCTTGTTCAGAGCAACTGGCTGGAAGGTCTTCTGCAATGCCAAGTACAGAAAAAATATTGAAGCTCTGAGCTTAGTATTTTATTAAAATGCATATGCAGTTAATGTAGCTATTATCTTCCTAGTTTAGATTATTATAAGCATTAAAATAAGTGTTTAGCTACGGACTCAATCCAATTTTAATGTCTTTGGGTTAATGCAGCCTCTTCACATTGAAGCAGCAAAGATAAAGGAATGTTACATACCATTCACAATTCACCCAGCTCAGGGTTAAGATAGCACAATACTCCAACAAGAATAAAGCAAGTCTCCACTTGACTGTAGCTCTTCATAACACTCCACAAGGGTCAAGCTGTGTTTTTTTCCTGCAGTGTTAAACAGAGTACATCTTATGAACATAGTTCAATTATTGACTGAACAGTGGGTTCAAACCGACTATAATCTAAGCAGATTTGCTCCAATGACTTCATGATTGGGAATGGGCTAACCGAAGGGCAAAGGTATCAGTAAAGTCTAGAGGCAGGCACTTAGGTTGAATTAGTAACATAGATGTCTCATATTACATGAGTTCGCAGAATGCAGTTCCAGGCCAGGTGAACAACACTGGCAAGATAGCAGGGAAGATACTGACCGTGGTTTGAGGAATGAAATTCTAAACTGGACACTGACTTTAAAAAAATTAATGAAAAAATTATGCATGGACCCTAAAAGAAGTTTCTATACAGTTTAGTTCTAAACATTCAGTCTTTAGGGAAAAAAGGCTAATATAAGATGTTTTTAATACTGCTGATGTGGTCTAAACTGTTTACATTCTAATCTCCTCCATTGAATACTTTTAATGTGTACAGATTTCTAAATCTACAAAATGTAAGACTAAATGTTAGTAAAATAAAGTAAGAAAGAGATACTCTCTCTTCCTTCTAACTAATAATAATCTTTGTATCCATGATTTTATTGATACATGGTTCCAGTGTTTTGCTGTGAATATTCTGCTCTGTTACCTGAGAGCCCTCTGTTCTGTAAAACACTTCATTTTAGTGGTACAGTCCAGTCAAGCTCTGTGCATAATCCTTCCTTCTGCCGTATATTACTGAATGGGTTCATTTTCTTTAAGTGCTTTGACACTTTATATTTGGTCTTATTCTCATTCTAGTATTAATCTTAACAAAAATATGATGCAAGTATAGTTTTATCAATTTTCATTTAAAAAAACTTCTACTAGAAAAATCTGTACATAATAGACCTAACTATTCATGACTAACATAATGAAGCTATGTGACATGTATGATATATATTCAAAAACTCAGTTCTTTTCACAGTTCTGAAAGCAAACTAAACTGGATGCAAATAGAATCAAATTTTCCCAGAAGATAAACAATGAAACTAACCATTTAATTTGATTTGGTTCTCCTGCAACTCATTTTGTGACCAGAATCATGGAAAGAATCAAGTTCGTGACATGAGATATTAGATAAATGACAAATAGACAGATAGATAGACAGGTAGATATAAAATTATGCCAAATCTGATTTCCTACATACACTTAATACTATTGTTATTAAATTATGCCAAATCTCTACCAAATTACTCCTACTCTGATTTCTTGTATATGCACCATTTACAGGATCCTGAATTATTTTGAAGCAAATACATATGTCACACAATATTCGTACATTGGAAAACATTGTAGTATATATCTTTAAAAGGTAAACACTCTTTTAAAATCACAATAGCATTTTTATACCTAAAGTATTTCTGATACTTCTATAATCTCTCTCTTAAGTGTACTAATTTTTCTGATGGCTTAATTTTTCTTATTTATAGATAATTTGAATTCAAACAAGAACCAAACATGGAATTTAGTTCACTTATTTCTAGGATTATTATCAATCTGTAAGCTTCCTTCTTTTTATTTTCAATGTATTTTGTCAATGAAACTGTATCATTTGTTCCTTGGGGTCTCTTTCATCCTGAGCTTGACTGTATCCCTGTGGTGTTGTTCATCATGTTCCTCTTTTCCTACCTTTCATTTGAGTTGAAAGCTAGATTGAAATATTTCAATTGGTTTCTTTCTTTTATTTTAGCAGAATTTGTTCATAAGTAGTATTGTGCACATCCTAATAGTATGCACATAAAAAGCCTACCTTTAGTATGGTGATGGGTGAAGTTGTTACTCTAAAATTATATATTTTTATTATAGCTTCTAACAATTAAAAATTTCACACTCATATGTTAAATTTTAACATGTCCTTATTACACAACATTTTAAAAATAGCATCTTAATCCTCACCAGACAGTGGCTCACCAGATAATGAAGTTTGAGCAGCATCGCATTAGTGAATATCAGCAATGAATCACTCAAAGCATCTATCTTAAATTGGATGAAATCTCAAATGAGTGCCAGAAGAAAGGCCCTGCATAAATGCAAGGTATGTATCTAGATCTTATCCAAATTAGATCAATCCTACATCACTTTTAGAGTAAAGAATGAGGGATAATATATTAGAACCCAATCCTGTGGTGACACCTTTCTAATTGATAGCCTTGAAGAACATCAACGTGAACCAATTTACGGACTTGAGTCAAAGCATAAGAATTGTCCTATCATGGAACACAATGAGTCCTTCCAAACTAATCCCAAAGGTGAGGCATCCCTGTCACTATACTTGGAAGCGGAGTGAGCCCAAGAAACAAGTGAAGACATGATATGAAATGGTGACTGTCTATGTAAAACCTACATGTATATAAATTATTGACGAAGCAGAAAACGTGTATGCCAGCCTGTTTGTGGTGTTTTTAGAAATTCATGGCTTTTTAAATTTTCACCTCTATGACTTTTTCAAATTGTATTTTTCATTTTTAAAAATCTGAAAAATTAGTGGTTTTAAATACTTGATCATCATGATAGAATTCTAATCTCTTGTAGTTTACCACTTGTATAGGTTTTTTTATGTAGCTGTATTTTATATATATATATGTATATATATATATATATATATATATATATATATATATATAATGTAAATACTCCAAGTATTCAATAATACCTAAAGTGAGACTTGTATTCTACTTTGAAACTGTTGGTGAATATATTGCTTTGACTTTGAGTACTGTGCTGTAGATGAATGAAGTCTCTTCTAGTACTGAAGTTTCTTGAATCTGTTGTAATTCCACATCAGGAATTAAAGAGGTTTTCTAAGGAAGAAGAAAATTATACAAATCCACAGAGTAAAATTTGGTAGCCTATGTCTTACTGTTTAAACTTTTATTTCCCTACTTTTTTACCCTCATAGTAAGAATACAGATATGTTATTTTTCTTATAATATATTGTTATTAACATTTGTAAATGATTGTTTCTCCATGTCAAGTTTCTTCTTCTAATATGCAACTTTAAAATTATTCTTTCCAAAGATACCTAATGGACTACACTGAGAACCTGGAGCAGGCTGAGCATTTGGAGCAAAAGGATGAGCCTATTATAAAAATAAGCAAGAACAACCATAGGCAACTCTAAGATTCTAATTTCTATGGAGCCATAGCAGCAAGATGTTCTGGACAAAATTACATCACAGATTACCTTACATCTCATATTATAGAGTATTTTATTCTATATGGGTAGTAAGAACCCAACATGCAACCTACCTTCTTAAGTGATTTTTAAAGATATAATATTTTGCTGTTGAACACAGTAGGCACAAGGTTATACCTTACATATAACATATGCCATTGAGTAGTAAGTGCCCATTTTTTCCTTCTCTCAGTGCCCAGAAATCACCATTCCACTCTTTGGTACTTTGATTTGACTATTTTAGATACTTCACATAAGTGAATTTTGCAAGTCTTTTTGAAACTAGTCTCTATTAGCATAATATGCAGAAGGTCATCAATATTTCTGCTTATTGCATCTTTCCTCTGTAAGGTAGAATCACATTCTATTATATACACTGTATTTCTTTATCTAATCATCTGAGGGTGGCACTTAGGTCAATTCTACAGTTTTTCTATATAAATATGCTAAAATGAAGATAAGAGTGCCCATGTCTCTTTAAGATTCTGATTTCAGTTCTTTGGAAAAATAATAAGAAATGGGATTTCTGGCTCATAGATTATTTTAATTATAATTTTCAAAGTACCTTCTGTATTATTTTCCTGCACTATTTTTACACTCCTACAAGGAGTGTACACTCCACATTCACCAATATTATTGTCTTTCTTTTTTTGATGAGATTTTTAACAAGTGAGACATGATATTTCTTTATGATTTTCATTGGCATGCCCTTAATGACTACTGTTCAGTGTTGTTTGTATACCTATTGGCTATTTGTATGTCTTCTTTGTAATAAAGATATAAGTAAGTCTCTGGCTCATTTTTAGTCAGATTTTTTTTTTGCTTTTATTTGTTTGTTTTTTATTCAGTTATTTGAACTCCTTATCCAACAGATTTATTTTCTACAGTTTCATATTTCATATTAAATCCATAAAATTGACTATTTTAAGTAAGATGTTTTTGTGTTATTTTGAACTTTAACAAAAATGTGTCACATACATCTTATATGAAGTATTAGTAATTGTTGGGTTAAGAAAACTCAAGTTCTGAGTAGTTCACTCAAAAAAACTTGAATTAGTTGAATTCAAAGAAATGACCATCACTCAGGAAGCCACAGAGAAATATTTCAGCAGATGTTCTTGTGACAGCATTTGTAATTAGGATATGAAAAAGCTTTGTGAAATGGATTTCTCTTTTGAACATTCACCTTAATATATTTCTCATTAAATTCTACTTTGTCATGTATGTGGCTCATATTTTTGTGAAGGTTTTACAATTTTTATATCTATTTATTATTCATTTGCAAAAGGTTTTTTTTGTTATTGTTTTGAGACAAGTTCTCACTACGTAGCACAGGCTGGCCTTGAACTAGCACAAATCCTTCTGCTTGAGCTTCCCTAGTGCTGGGATTATAGATGTGTGGCACCACATGTGGTCTTTTTTAGTAATTTGACTAATTTGTGATAGAATATTAATTCTCATCACGCATTTTTAAAGTTTCCTTTCAGTGATAGAGTTGTTGTTCAGAGAAAGCATGCCTTCAATTAACATTCAAATCCAAAGAGTCCTTAGTTTACCCTGATAAAGAAGAACATTTTGGAGAAGGATGTGAGTCAGCATTACACATCTTACATGTTTTCTCCTGCAGCACCTTTTCTTCTTTTTTTTAAAAGCAAAACATATTAACAGATTTCTATGTCAAATCTAAGGCCTTGTTACACATGGGCACTGGATTTTGTTAACCTGCACTTTTGAAGAAATAGTAATGGTAACTGTGAAACTGAAGAACTTTAGCGTTAGTGGATACCCTAAGTGCATCCATCCTCTACTCTGGAAGATTGGAAACTTCTGGCAATACACCTGACTTACAGTGCATTCTACTCTAAGAATTAATATTTTCTATTGTAGAGGACATACCACTTTCATGGGAAACTGTTGATGTCTTTGGGTAGTGCTAAGTTTTAGGAATGTCTTTCATATACTAAGCATATTTAGTCTCCGTATCAATAGAATATATGTTGACATAACAGTATTCTAAAAGTCAGTGATCAGTTTTCACGCTCTTGTCACCTTTGAATCTTTAGTTCAATTTAAGAATCTCTAAAATTATGAGATTATTGCTATTCATTTACATAGAGGAAAAGGATACTGTATTTTGGATCATAAAGTCAGCCTGAGGTATTTTAACCCAACTACAATGAATTAAGATCCAACTACAAAGTTACAGGGAAATGTCTACAAAAAACTATCCTTATTGCTAATGTCAACTACATATCCAGGATATTCTATAACCAGCTTCAGCGTCAATATTTTCTAGAAAGTTTCAGTACTGAAGCTAATTATACCTACATTTCCATTTGTTACAGGCAAATGATACTTATAATCACCCAAAGGAAGAGAGCTTTGGTGTAAGATTTTACATGCAAAGTCTCTGTTGTTACAAAGATGCGATACACTGTCACTCCTGATGTGTGATGATACACTTAGTTTCCCCCTCCTACGCCCCTCCCACCTTTCAGTCTCTTTTGTACTGCAATAACAGAATGCAACAGCTAGGCAGTTTACAATAGACAGACTTGTATTTCACAGTTGTGGAAGCTGGGAAATCCAGGGAAAGAATGAGCATCTGTTGAGAGCCTTCTTGCTGTGTCATATGGCAAAGGGCGAGGGCAAAAATGTGTATGAGAGAGATAGAGAGAGAGAGAGAGAGAGAGAGAGAGAGAGAGAGAGAGCTGAACTCCTCCTTTTATAATAAACACCCTTCCACAAAAATCCCACAATAACATCAGTCTACTCACTCTGTGCTCATGTCCCAATCGTTTCTCATTAGGATCTGTGTCATGTCACTGTTGAATTCATGATTAAGTTTGTAACACCCAATTTTTGTGGCACACATTTAAACCATAACAGTATAAAAGTAGTGTTGACAGCTGGACAAGCTCACCTCGGCTCCAGTGTTCAGTTTTCAGTGGGGTTTCATTAGGTAGGCATGATTGATTGAGTGACTGAAATACTAGATTGTGCAAAGAGCCCTCGAGGAACAACAGAGACATTTTGATAACTTGAGAAATTTCAAAGGTTTGGAGATCATCATATCCTAGTGACTAAGTACAGAACCAGATTATTGGTGAAACTGTACTTTTCAATATAATATTTGCTATTTTCTTAGCTAAAATTACTCTGATTCCTTAATCTAACATGAGGTATAGTTTTAGAAGCTTGGCATATCTTTATATCCCTAGATAATCTCTAATTTATTATTTTATTTTAAAATATATAATTCAAATTCCTCATCTTCCATACCTATGTCTATATTAAAGAATTAGGTCCTAACTAAGTGTGAAATAATTCTTTGAACTTATAGTCAGCAGACTTAGAGTCCTGATATTTCCAGACACTGGATCTTGGAAACATTATAGTTTCTTTCCAGTTCCTCATGGATACAGTATTATCAATAATACCCACTTCATATTTTGTGGAGACTAATTAAGACCACATGTAAAAGTTTTCATTCATTATAGGAGCTTGATAAATGTTTTCTGAAAAAAAAAAAAACCTGGAGTCTAAATTTTAGTTAAAGAAGTATGTCAAGCAGTGCCTGCCTGTCAAGTCGTATAGAATAGATGAATGCATGTATTATTTTGATAAAAACAGTGTTCACCTCACTTTATCAAGTATTAATCCAATCCATGGAGAAGTGCAAAGTGACTGAGAGGAAGAAAGCCTGTTTCTGTGCTTCTGGAGTTAGAATATATTGATAAATGTCTTTGATACAAGGAGACTGGAAAGATGTTGAATTCTGGTAAATAACTGGTGTAATGGTGTCCAAGAGAGGAAAGAATTCTATCGAGATTATTAGAAGAATGCGTCTTCATAAAAGCCTTATGTCACTGAAGGTCCAAAGAAGCAGGAAAATATTAACCGTACTTTGGGGAAAATTGAATATCTTTTTGTTTCAGAATGTCTAAATTAACTCACTTGAGAAGAAAGGGAACTTATCAACAATATATAAATAAATTAGCCATGAATACAAGAAGAAAGAAAATTTTTAAAATAAAATTTTCTTAGAAATAAGAGCTCTCTAAATTATGATAATTATAAAAAGGGAAGACTTTTAGCCAAAATTTATTTATATTTATATAAAAATATCTTGTTGACCTTATTGAATTAAGGAAGAAATATTTTATTTCGAGCAGGCTTTGAGAGTTGTAAATGTTTAATTCATCAAATAACTCAGCTATATTCATAGAAAATAATTTTCATGCCAGGCACTGCTGTAGGCACTGGGGACGTATGTCTAGAATAAGGCAGAGAAAATCCTGCCCATATAAATAAATCAGCAGCTATTTAGCAATGTGAGATGAAGAAGGCAGTGTTGCTTATGATCACACTAATTCCTAGTGTAGGGCACATTGAGCAGAAACTTGGAACTAAGGTTTCTGCAGGGAAAACAGAACAAGATTCTGGAGTGTGCTTGGATTTTTCCGTAGGAGGCAGGAGTTTGAAATGGCTGAAGGAAGAGAGTGCGTGAAAACACGTGAGAGACTGCTGTGGTGTCAGGCTTTGTAACCCATTATAAAGACTGAGTATTCCTGCAAGTTGCCATCTCTGCAGCTTGAGTCACGCTTCCCCCTCTAGGCTTCCACCCCACTCTCAAGACGTGTTTTTGTGTTTTCTGTGCTTCATGGTATAGTAATCGTTAGCCATACCAGGCTTTTGGGAATTTGGAATGTGACTAGTTCAAATGGACAGTACGAAAAATATAAAATTCCTCCATAATTTTTGAGTTATTTAATATGTAGAAATGCAAATATGTTGATATTGGGTTAAGTAAGATAAAATAAATTTCATCTGCATTTTTCTTAAAGTCGATGTTTGTATTCTGAGATAACTCTAGATCGAACAAATAATACAGAAAGCGTCTGTGTACCTTTTCTCTGTCTTTACTCAGTGCTAATATTTTGAATATGTATAGCCACTATATTGCTGTTAGGGTATTGACATGGCACATTGTCCATGTTTCTCCAGTTCTAATTGTACCTTTGTGGTTTTCGATTTTATACAATTTCATTCCAAATGTAAGAGTTTTTTATCCAAAATATAGGACAGTTTTTCCATCACAGGCACCCTCTGTGTTGCCTTTTTTATCACCACTCTTGCATATTTTCGGTGTCCTGTCCTCTCATCTCAGTCTTGATCACTAACAACCAGTAGTTCATTCATTTCTGTCCTCCCCACCCCGAAGATTGTACCATGCTATATACAAACTAGTTTTTTTTAATCTTTAAAAAGTAACTTGCCATCTTGATTCTGGGTTTTTTTTTTTTCCTTGTTTTTCTGATATAGAGTCTTTCTCTACAGTTCATGCTGTCCTTGAGCTCACTTTGTAACCCAGGCTGGTCTCAAACTTACAGTGATCCTCTTGCCTCAGCCTCCCAAGTGCTGGAATTGCAGGCATGTACCATCACACCCCACTTTGATTTTGCTATTATTAATGAAGCTACCAAAAACATTCTTTTGCTTGTAGAGTAATTGCATATTTATTTTTATAGGACATGGAAATTCTATTCCCGAGTCACGGTATTTTCAGTTTTCAGGGGATTTTTTTAAATAAAATATAAGCACTAGAAAATTTAATGTTTCCTATGTAAATGTCCACATTTCTGTCAGGTAACGCTACTTTGGCCTGCAGTACTGAGTTGTTTCCTCTTCCGGTGTCTCTCGTGTGCCTTTATTTCCATCTGGTCTGTTTTCAGTATTTCCTAACAGATCACACAAATGTCTGTAGTGCAATGGTTAAGGGGAAAAAAATCCAGATGCTCTGATACGGCTCACTGACATACACCTTACCAGCTGTGTGACATATGAAGGTTATGTGAAGCTGTTTAATGCCTATGCATCCAGTTTTCCGATCTGAGAATGAGTGATCATAGCGGTGCAAATCTGATTGGGCTCATACGGTTATTGGGTTAGCATACATGAAGTTTTTTTCTGTTAAGATCCTTCTGAACTCCTCCAGAAGAACAAGATTAAATCCACATATAGGTTTCCATTGTAGCCAACACCCTGACAAATTGTGTTTATATAATTATCTCATATCTTTACTGCTAGACTGTAAGCACCTATGAGGGCAGTGACCTCGTCTGTGTGATTTAGTGCACTACCCTTAGTGATGACAATATAAGGCGAGGCGCTTGAGGTATCATTTTACAGTGAATGAGTGAGTGAATAAAAGACAAATTCCTTCAATGTAACCAGGATTTACTTATCAAGTATTATTTAATTTGTTTTCCTTAACTTTTTAGAAAAACCATCTATTAAGTTGTAACTGTAAGTTATCTGATCAGTTGTTATTTGAGAACCCCTATCTATGAAATGTGATGAAAATATGGTAAATAAATTTAAATTACTAAATTATTACAAAAAACCTACTGCCATTAATTTCAAAATATTTCCCCTTTTTAAGGCATGCTTATCTCATTATTCTTTCTACTTTCTGAAGCAGTTGTGGAAATTCTTTTGAAGAACCCAAATTTTCAGTAGGTGACACTGGCAAAGCAGTTCTTCTTTATAGCTTTGTTCATAATTTTATGTCAATATTACAATTATTTTAGATCTTAAATAGGTTAAGTCCATAACATTGTTAAGGAATTTACAAAGAAAGCACGATAAAACACAAAATGGTTTTCATTTACACACTTTGTTTGAAATTGGAGCTGTATACCAATGATCATGATCAATAGCACACATTTTTAGACACACACACGTGCGTTTTGTCATTATCCATCTTGATTTTCTCACTTGCTGAGGATGGTTTCTATGGTAGAAAAAATACTGATGTCTATTGCTTTGATCTAAGGTAATTGAAGCTCGTGTTTACCATTTTATTATCTGTGTGCCAATTTTCAGGCATGATCTATGTCTGTGTCTGTGTATCTCTATCTATGTCTATGTCTATATCTATATCTGTACCTGTATCTATATCCATATCTATATCTTTATCTCCATCCCTAATGTTCCCACATGTCCTTAGTGACAACTATCATTAGCCTCATTTTATAAATTGGATATGTTGAGTGGCAGAAATGTAACTTAACTTCACATAGCTATATCTAAGATTATGCCACAAGATGGTGGTTTCTACTTTCAAACTAATCTAAATGTCACTTTTCTCCACTGAAATGCTATAATTGGGCTCAAATTTGTATGAAACATGTCAAATTGTAACAGAAAGATTACAGTACTTGTTTCTTGCTTTAATGTGTTTTAATATTCAGTTTAAAAAACAGAAATGATAATATTTATTATTTACTGTGTGCTATATTAAATCATTCACTGGGATTATTTTATGTAAGTATGGCCACACAGATGGCTACTATAATTGTATTTACTTTACCTTTTAGAAATAGGTTAAGAGAAATTAAGTAATGGTTCAAGGTGAGAGAGTTAGAACTATTAAAAGAAGGATATAAATCTGTGTAATGTGATAGTCAAGCCTTTATGAATGATGTATATTGCTCTTATTTCAGTAATTTAAGTTGGTTATTTGAGTTAATCATGTAGAAAATGACATTTCCTTTTGCTTTCATATGGTTTATATTCTTCAATATTTTTCATTCATGTGTAGTGAATGACATATTTTCTCTTTTCTGTGCATTTATATTTATTGTGTTTCTATGGTTTTTATAAATAAATCAGACCATGACAACAACAAACCTTTGGGTGAAATGATTCAATAATTCTGGCTCCTTTCTTCTCTCGTTGCATCACATGTACTTGAAGATGCATTATGAATTTCCATATGCCAATATTTAATTTTCATAATCAGGTGGCTCCACATTTACAGATAAGAAAATATATTTTAGAAAAATCACTTCTGCATTTTAACACATCTTCCTTCATACAACTTAAAACTTGTTTCCTTCTAGATTATTTTCTAATTAAAATATTAAACCCTTAATTAATGATTATTGCTTATTTGACTATTTATACATATTACACATAAGTCTGTGTTTGAATTTGTTAGCTTCCCCTCTCCCATACATTATTCCACGCAGCAGTTTTTCTGAAAATTGTTGCTTGGTAGGACCACTTGCCTTTATGTGTTGCTATTTTGTTGTTGCTGTACTTAATTGAGTGTTCTTTTTATGTAACCAGGAAGAGTTCTCTAAACCTGGGAATATTTACTTCAAATAGTAGCATGATAATGCATGTATTTATTATTTATTTATTTTCACTTCTCTAAAATAGCAACTTTGATTAATAATTATATACAGGCTTTGTTCTTCTTATCTGGGTGTCAACAGTAATTGGAATCCATATCCATATCCTACCTCGCAATCATGCTGCAAAAGGGCAATAAATTCCCGCTGAGTGTGTTCCTTGTTAAATTTAGTGCGTTACATTCAGGGTAATGAATAAAAGCAGTGGGCCGTTACCGTCTGGCTGGCTGAAGAAGGCTAGAACAGCCAGACTCCCCTGAGGCTTTGAGCAGCTTAAAAACAGTGACAGGCAGAATCAAGGGAGTCCTGCAGCATCGCAGTTCGGTTTGTCTCCCTTAATTTCCTGTTCTGTAGAGTCTCAGGCTGTAATGATGTGAAGTAATCTTATCCATTAATTCACCACACTTCCATAAAATGCTGCATGCTCTGGTTTATTAACAAGCAAATACAGTTAGGTAAATAGTTATGCATTTACGTTGCACGGGGAAATGAGAATACTAGTGAATGTAAAATAGTAACTATGCCTCCATGCAGTTCACTTTGTGTATCTACATGTATCTATTGTGTATTCATTTGTGTATTTTGAAAGTGCTTATAGATATTTTCATGGGTGAATAATCAACAAAGCAATCCCCATAGAAATATGTATCTACTTATTTCTATCACATATTGATTGAATATGCATAGCCATTTTCTTTCTTTTTCTTTCTTTCTTTCTTCCTTTCTTTCTTGTTTGTTTTTGTTTTTTGAGACAGTGTTTCACTATACAGTTGAGGCTTGCCTTAAACTCACTTTGTAACCCCTGCTGATTTTGAGCTCACAGTAATCCTCCTTGTCTCGGCCTCCTAAGTGCAGGGACTATATGCAGGCACCACGATGCCCAGCCATAACCATTTTCTGAAAAAGTGAATCCAACATTGCTAAGGTCACCAGCTCTTTCTTAAAATGAATACATTTTTTATAGAAAAAAATTCTGCCTTGAGCTCTAATAAAAATTTTACTTGTGTTATAAGTGCACAAATCCAAGAGTATTACAGCACATCTTATTCAGTGTGTTTTTCTTGGTAAATAAGCCTTTATTTACCACTCCTGATAATTGTTACACACATTCTAACCAAGCTACCTGTCTGATTTAGTTCTTTGAGTTATGGTGAGTACTAATATGAATTTTAAAAGCAGCTAGATGCTTAAAGAAAGTTAAAAAAAAAAACAAAGATTTGTATGAAATGACCACTTTTAGTATTCTTAAGTGTGTTGGAAAATATAGCATGCAGTGACCTTTGCTGATTCCAAGAGGTTTGATTAGAGATACTGGGTGTTGTTTTCCAACATATGCATGATGTTATTACAGCAACATTGTCACAGTGAGGTAAGTAAAGCATATATGAAGTTCAGCATTCTTCTCCTGGAAAGAATTTCTAAAATCAAATGTAAGAAATTATTCATCAGTGTTTATTGAAGAATAATACACATTAGTCAAGAATTTTGACATATAATGGTAAAATATAGTAAGATGTTAGTATTATTTCTGCTGTAAATAGGCCTGAACTTCCTCAGCAAATATTTTCTAAACATAATAAAGCCAGTGTCTATTTTGGCACTTCTGCTATAGATTCTTATAACTACAGAGTGTAAGAGAATCAGAGAAGTTGCTTGATAGAGCAAAAATAGCTGAGGACAAACCTTAAAGTTTCCCATTCAGTTGGCTGAGCAAAATACATTGAAAATTGCATTTTCAAAATTCTCAAATGACTTTGATGTCATTGGTCCAGGTACACTATTTAAGAACTATTAAGTCATGTGAAATATATATTATATATGTATATATATATATATATATTATATATATGTATATATACATATGTGAAATGTATTATATATAATAAATATATATATATATATTTGGCTGTTTTGTTGTTTTTGATAGCAGGAATCAAACTCAAGACCTTGTACATGCCAGGCAGGTACTTAAAGCACTGAGCTATATTCCCAGGTCTTGACATTATATTGAATACTTTCTATAGAATGAAGACTCAAGAATTCTCTTCTTTTGATATGTTGTCAAACTATATTTGAGGCTATCTACTTACAAGATTCATTGCACATTCATATTTGAAAAACAAAGTTTATAAGCAAACACAAAAATTAAAATGAGTAGGTATTATAAGTTTTGTAATTTGCTTATAAAGAAAGAGGTCAAAATATAAGTTTTAACTCTGTGATGCCAGTTTAGCTTACTTTTACCCATAGAGTTTATCAGGTTTGGATTTAACTAGTCTGATGAGTAGTCAGGTCAAGATCTTTAAAAACAATCCCCATATCTGCATCTGAGTTGGAGGGCAATGTTTACAGTTAGTTATAGGTGAATCCTTTAAAGAGATAATGGCAATAAAATGAGAATATGCATCACAAATCACAAGAGTATTAACACGTTGGAAATAGTGAAATTTGTATTCCTATTAGTGTGAATTTATGTATTTTTTGATTGCAGAGATAAGGCTCCCAGCATAATATGGAATGTAAGCACTAACGATGATCTTGGGGGAATACATGTGCTTAGAGAAGCAAGGCTTATTATGACAATAAAAGTTACAGTTGGTTCAGATTCTTATTTTCTTTCTCATGTGTTCATGTAATGGTTTCATAACCAGAATTCTCAAGAACATGTGATGTACCAGGTACTGTGAAGGGACAGAAAAGAACTGATGAACAAATATAAAGGTAGATTTATGTAATCTTGGTCATAGGTTTAGAGAAGTAAATGCAGGTATGAACACCACTAGCCAAAATGTTTGAATGTTTAAAATTTTTAAATTTGAATTTGATATTAATGTATAGAGTTATATTGTGGACATAGGGAGGAGGAGAAAGTAGGAGACGTGTTACAAGACAAAGGATTGTGCTAAGACTTTAATCTGAACCATCAGGATTCAACTATGCTGCATCATTCTTAGTTTTGATAATGATGCAAATATGAAGAAGCCAGATAAGGTGGTGCAGGCCTCTAATCCCAGTTAGTCAGGAGGCTGAGGAAGAAGGGTCATGAATGTAGTGCAGTTCTGGGCAACTTGAGAAGATGCTCTCAAAAACCAAGAAGTGACAGGTGGAGAAGGTAGCACAGTACCAAAAGATTTTCCTAATGAGCTAAGTCCTCATTTCAATTTCTGGGGGATAGATAGATACCTTAGACATTGGATATTTCCAAAGATTTGTACCCTGCAAGCAGAAGCTACACTTTCTTTATGTGTGTCTATGTTTTATGCCCCAAAACAGGTCAGTTTTTGTTCAGAATACAAGAAAAAGAATAGTGTAAATTGCAGAAATCACTCCTGGTCATAACTTAATACTATCAGAAATAAATTTTCTTCAAAAATCCTCCCTAAAATATTAAAAACAAAAAGAACATGAAAGAAGAAAATTGTTGGGACAAAAATGAAACTAAGACAACAATCATAAGCTATTTAGAAACATCTAAATAGACATTAAAGCACTATATATCTTTTTATGTTTTCATGGATTACATCTATTAATATTAATTCTATTATAAATTAAAACTGGGATAAATATTTAAATGAAAACTACCTTTTCTGAGACAAATAAAACTAGTGAGAAGAACATGTTATTTAGGGGCTGGGGATTTAGCTCAGTGGCATAAGTGCCTGCCTTGCAAGCAGGCAGTTTTAGTTCAATCCCTGGTACCGATTAAAAAAAAAAAAGAATGTGTTATTTTAAAAAATTTGCAAGTTTTTATGTCACCTCTTTATTTGATATGTTGTGATACACTATTTTGGTTAAAGTACAAAAAGAAAATTCAGGCTCACATAGCTATGTAGCTGGGAAAGAGAGGATATTTTGATAATACCCTTTCAGACAGTTGTAATTATTCTTGTCTGATGTTCTTCCAGAATTCAACTAGTGATAGGTATAAGTATGTATGTATGTAAGTAAATAAGTATGTATGTATGTATGTATGTAGTTATATGGTACTAGAGATGGTACCCAAGGCATTGTACTTTCTAGGCAAGTGCTCTGTCGCTAAGCTGCATTTCCAGCTGTATCTAAAAAATTTTTTTGAAGTAAAGTTTCATCATTTCAGCATTGAAATATTTCTAAAAGTGCTTAGAAAATATTCATGGCTTTTAGTATTTAGTCTTTTTCTAAAGTATTTAACTGGACTACAATAAAACAAAAACAAAAAAGCCTTATGGTGAAAACTATAAAAAATATAATTGAATAAAATCAAATGAGTCATAGAAGTAAATCAAATAGAAGTCATAGAAGTAAAATCAAATGAGTCATAGAAGTAAATGTTCTAATATAAATGTACCTTTAATTTTTGGCAAGGACTACAAAAGTAAAATAATGATAATAATAATAATAATATAAATACAATAAGCCAAAAAATTTAAAACAATATACAAGGCAATATTATTTAAGAAAGTAATTATAGGATTTTAGGAATAAATACTAGTATGGAATACTAGTAAGGAAAT